GTATTTGTTTTTCTTCTTATTAGCTATTTTTTTACAATATTTACGCAACATTTTACAACATTCACATTATATAGACATTTATACTTTAATAACTATACACATAAGTATTCGAACCCTAGAAGCCTTGTCATTGGCCATAAGACATTGTTAGAGAGGATTGTATACAGTGTTGAGTGTACTGATATATAATACATTGTTAAAGAGGATTGTATACAGTGTTGAGTGTATTGATATCAAGTTCTTCAAGAAATATTAAATATACGATAGTACACGAAGCAACCCACTAGTGTTTATGTGTTCCGTTAGTAAGGTATACTATATTCTTTCCTTAATATTACTTTCATTAAAAGTACTGGCAAGAACCTATAATATGTATATATTAATTGTTTATTATTATATTTTTTATCATGGAGGTCATTTTCACATTGTTACCTTAGCTTAGTATATGGATTTAGGATTAGCTTCGATCTCTTATGATGGTCGAACCTCATGATATATTATTGGGATTACGGTCGAAGATACTGCTAACAGAGAGGGTATCTAACTGATGAAACAATCCATTTTAATCTTTTTTTATGTAAGAAGGTGATAACAGTATATTTATCTCACCACCGACATTATTTTTAGTTATGTTATACGTAGGTAGCTTGTTTTGATCAGAAGTTCATATTAATCACTAAAGAAAATAACAACTGAAATTTTAGAAACTTGCCGTCGGGTCTATTGGCTGCCATCAAAGCCTGTTCAGAGACTATCCATACATAGCCTGGGCTTGTCATTTTCAGTTGCTCCACCTCGCGGAATATCGATTCTGCGTCTTCAGTACTAAATTCGTATGAGAATAAAACCAATTAAAAATATATAAATAATATATAAAGTCTGCATACGTGATGTAGAAGATATAAAAATAAATGTAAGAATTTTATAATAGTAAGAGAGATAATATGAATATTTAAAGTAACAAAGCTTAATAATGATAAACCTTATCATTGATGTAGGGAAGAATTTAATGCTATAGAGTACAAATAAAACCAAACATTCTTATAAAATGATGAATCGATCATAATTTGCTTTTGGAAACATATTTTTATGATACTAATTTTGGTACAAGACATAAAATATTGTTAAGTATTTAATCCTTTCATAATTATTTAGTGTTAGAAAATCGATTGATAATTAATAACACCCATTATGTTGCTTGTTATTCTCACGCTTAAAACTAGCGTTACTACGTTTTTAATTTCAGTTAAATTATTATCAACCTCTTTACAGAAAGATGTTAGAAAATCCGTTCGTCATGCTTTAATAGAAGATGTATTCTAAATAATTAAAAAAACAGCCACAAAACATGATAATATGTGAATTAAGGAGACTCACGTTCAAGAAAGCCATACAAATATTGGTTACACGAACCAAAAACTTAAAAATACGACGGCATTCTGTATTCTGATCGGATTCTCGAGTGTGTATTCTAAAAGGAATTTCTTATTGATGACACATATAAAAACAAGGTAATAAAAATTGCGCTTGGGTTAAACTCGAAATAAAGTGTAAATATTTGTGAACAGAAATTCAGTTTGTGTTTTTTGAATTGTTAATAGCCTTGTTTCACAAGCCATTGTTTTGTCGATCCAATGTCAATTTGTTATACTGCTTACCAATGTTGTATAGTTAACTTCTTTTGACAAAACTAGCCAACCTTACTTCTATTTTTTGATATTAATGATACCTTTTTTAATAACCTCTAATCTTTTTACGTGATAATGACTTATAGTTTTTAGAGAAAATGTTTATGAAGTTGTTCTAATTTTTAGCCGCGGCATAATGGCTCATAGAACGACTTTGAGTTTTTCTTTGTTTTTCAAGTACAAACGTTTAGTTTATAGATCCGCCATATATTGACCAATATGAGATTTAATTATAGTTTTGGACTCAGGAGGTCAAACCCTTTCGATTGGTCTATCTGACTATGCCCAAGGTCTCATAAATCAATTTATTTTATTCCTGCCTAAAAAAAATTTAAGTGCCGCGGCTATTGAGGATTTCTTCTTGTTTTCATAGTCCTAATGGTTCAAATATATTAAAAAATTGTTTTTAACATTAAAACATTACAACAAAGGTTTTGCACATAAATAATGAAGAAGAAACTCAATATTTTTGCTAATTTATAAACTGCTGTTTGTTTGTTTTTGTTTTTTTTATTTCGCGCAAAGCTACACGAGGGCTATCTGCGCTAGCCGTCCCTAATTTAGAAATGTAAGACTAAAGGGAAGGCAGTTAGTCATCACCACCCACCGCCAACTCTTGAGCTACTCTTTTACCAACGAATAGTGGGATTGATCGTCACATTATAATGCCCCCACGGCTGAAAGGGCGATCATGTGTGGTGTGACGGAGATCAGAACTCGCGGCCCGCAGATTGCGAGTCGAGCGCCCTAACCACCTGGCCATGCCAGGCCAAACTGCTGTCTTAACAATCTTCGGCTGTTCACCTTTTAATAGTACATAAACTACTAAATATTTATTGAAAATATAGATTTATTTGAATAATCAAAGCTTTAACAGTTTAAAACCTCATTAGTATAGCATTGCTGACCTAGTTTTTAGATAAACAAAATATCCTATTTTAAAAATAAATAACTTACTTTGCGTACAAAATAAAAACTTTGCAATAAAATTCTTTCGTTTTTTCCAGTTGTTGGATAATGTCTGTAAATCCAGGTTCATATTCGATAACGTCATCAAGCTGAAAAACACAGCCAACAACAATAGGTTCAATCTACTGGAAAAAGTGCCACAGTAATCTTCAAATTTCTTCAACTAAACGAATTATCTGTTTTTGTTGGAAGCGTAAGCATAAAAATAAGATATGAATTATTAAATAGGCATTTATGGGATCTTATGTTTTGCATTATTCCAAATTTATCGAAACTTTTAAGATATTAGGTTTCTAGGAGCTAAGAAAGTTAATTTAGATTATATATATTATTCCAATGTGTCAATTTGACTGTATAATAGAACGCGAAATGACAGTAACTCAACAGTAACTCCCTTCTCGGTTTTCCAGTAATGATAAAAAAGGTATACTGTGAGTGCGTGTGTAAATGTTAGATAGTAACTATACAGTATTGGAGAATATGTTTATACAAATAACTTTCAGAACTTTCGACTCAATTTCGAGGTGAAAGCTGAACATTTAACTGAAAGTTAATTTATACTGTTGTTTCTAACAGTTAACTGAAAGTTACATTATACCATTGTTTCTAACATTTAACTGAAAGCTACTTTGTACTATTGTTTCTAACATTGTTACTTTATACTATTGTTTCTAACATTTAACTGAAAGTTACTCTATACTATTGTTTCTAATTGTTGCTAGACAGGTCTTTACTTTCAACTCCCTAAAATAAACGGAAAACGAATTTATAAATAAAGAAAAATGATTAAAGATGTATATTGTATTGCAAGACAATTAAAATTATGAGAACATAATTTTTAATCACCTCTAATCTTAACACATTTGTTTCTCGAAATCACTCATATATTGTATAATGCAAATAGTAAACTTAACTTTGTATGTTTAGTATTTCATAGACCAACAATTATATTAACGTTTAGTGAGGAACCGACTGAACTGAATAATTAATTTAAAATACAATAACAGCAACGTTTACGGTAGGCAAATTCTGATTTTAGTAATTACAACGTTTCGACCCATAGTATTGAGTCATCATCAGGTCGAAGCGTTGAAATAATTAAAATCAGAATTTGTTTACCGTATCAAATCATCATCAGGTCGAAACGTTGTGGTCATTAAACTCGAAATGTATCAAGTTATCATGAGGTCAAAACGTTGTAGTCATTAAACTCGAAATGTGTCTCCTGTATCAAATCATCATTAGGTCGAAACGTTGTAGTCATTAACCTCGAAATGTGTCTCCTGTATCAAATCATCATTAGGTCGAAACGTTGTAGTCATTAAACTCGAAATGTGTCTTCTGTATCAAGTTATCATGAGGTCGAAACATTGTAGTCATTAAACTCGGAATTTGTCTACTGTAAACGTTGCTGTTATTATATCTTGAATCAACCATTGTATTGTTTACATCAGCTATATTTCGAGTAAAGTTATAAATGTGGATTTATCTGCTGTATTTTGTGTACAAACAATAATTATGTAAGTTATCTTTTACTTCATTCCATCTTATTCCAAACCTTAATCTTGGCCTTTACGTTTGGATTCTGTGTACAAACCGTATTCTTGGTTTTACACACTAGATTCCGTGTACAAACCGTATTCTTGGTTTTACCTACTAAATTCTGTGTACAAACCATATTCTTGGTTTTACACACTAGATTCTGTGTACAAACCGTATTCTTCATTTTACCTACTAGATTCTGTGTACAAACATTTATCTTGACTTGACATTGTAGATTATGTGTACAAACCTTAATCTTGGCTTTATCTGCTAAGTTCTGGAACCTGCCTAAAGTGTATCTGCCATTATTGTCTGAGCTGTGAATAAAAACAACGCATTTGTAGTGAAGGGATTTCAGAAGTTCTATCCACACGTCTGCTTGATGGGAGTAAGGGGGGACTGTCCGAAGAAAGGACGCGTGGAGATTCTATAAAAAAAAATAACTTGGTGATAAAACAATGGAATTATGTAGATAATTCACATGAAAGAGTTGACACAAAAATCCTAGTAGTTATTTTTTCGAATAACAGCATCTTTGAATATTAGTTAAAGTAACCAAAAATCTGTAATAGAGTATTTACTCCAAGGTAATGTAGTAAGTTGATGTTATTTTTAACTTAGTCACAAGGTGATAAGGAACGCTACTCATAATCATGTCTATTTCCAGCAGAAACAATTCGCCCTCGAAATATATCAAAGGTTGTTGTTCATTCATCGCACGTCAAGTTTCATTTGAGGGGCTGGCTATACAGTTCTCACTTTCACTTAACTAACATTCGACTGAAGTTAGTGTTTAGAAACTGGGAGTTACAAATTATGTTTCTGGTCACGTGTACAGCGGTTATTGAGAGTATAATGTAATTATACATTTAATAACAACCAACAAAAAGGTGGGCTGAATAATTTCCTTGTATTTATTCATAATTCAGCGCGGTTTTTCGAAAGCGTTCTGTTTGAAGAGTAAATAAAACAGAATTAAGAGTAATGAATGTTTTTATTTCTTGCTTTTGAAGTCTATATGTCATGCTGTGTTGCATCTTGCAGAGTGCATGATTCATGGCACGCGTACGTTTTACTGGCCTCACGACAGTACAAATTGCAAGGTTATGTGTCCCTTAAGTGACGTTATTTTAGTGTCGACTGACTAACTGACAGACAGCACACTACTCTATGATGGTGCGAGTGGTTAAAACAGGTGACCCCTCTAGGCGGTCTTTGGCCCCTTTCGGGGAACTAGCTTCTGATCAAAGCAAGCTGCTTACATAGATCAGAACTGAAAATCAACCTAGTAACGGACACAGCTATTTAAGTAAACGTTCTTACGTCCTTTCTTATAATGATTACAATGCATTGTTTCGTCGTTAAAGGTTAGGCCCTGTATGGCCAGGTGGTTAGGGTGCTCGACTCGCAATCTGAGGGTCGTGGGTTCGAATCCCCGTCACACCAAACATTCTCGCCCTTTCACCCGTCGGGGCGTTATATTTTGAAGGCCAATCCCACTATTCGTTAGTAAA